GTTTTTTTGGTAGCTCCCACCGTGAAAGAACCGAGTTTCTCCTTGACGCTCCCGCAGAGAGTCGCGTATGTCGTACCGCTACCGTCCACTACAATGAAGCCAAATTTCTCATCTGATTCCAACATGCGGTGTAACTCCTCTGTGTGGAACTTATTGTCACAGAGGTACAAACTGCGACTAACGGGCTTAAATGGCTCAATGTCCAGCGTGAGCTTCTTTTCCTTGTTATCGGCTGTGAGAACGGTACCACAATAAAGAAGAAGCCCGTTCGGTGGGAGACGATTGTACTGCTTCAATCGCCCAAGGGAGGCAGTGATGGCACTTTGAACACTGAGTTTGTTGGTGTGGGACTTAATATTCGACGCGGTGCCGTACTCATTATTTAACTTTGTGACCATACCAGAGACCTGCTCCTTCGGCGTCATGTAAATACTGATAACACTGGTACCCATGCCACGCGCGGACTCAAGCATCTGGATGAGTTTTTTCACCTTGTAGCGCTCAATCGCCTTCTCCGAATCGGACAGCTCATGATCGCCCATAATGCGCTTCCTTGATCTCCGGACAACTCATTCATCATACAACAGACATGCACACACATACACGTGGAGAGAGGGAGAAAGAAAAAAACAACAACAAAATGGCAAAAAATATGTGAGATTATTCATAAGCAATAAATCCCAATGCACTCCGCTTCACGGCTCATACACGGGTGCTTCGCTCTTTGAGGCGTATTTATGTGTTTTCCTCATTCTTTCACTTTTCTCCTCACACCGATCCACTTCAGTGTGTGTGTGGAACCCATACAATATTCATACTCACGGCAACGAGTGCAAGTAACACAAGAGAAATGATGAAAAGAACCAAAGACGATTTCCCCCAGCTGTCATGGGCAAATCCCTCCATCACCAGGTACTGATCCCCAGTGTAGCAGTAGGAACGATTCGCTTTGGTGTCACATGAATACGGGTTGCCGCGTAGTTCCGATGCCACCACACCGCCATAACCATAGCGTAGCAACGACAGGGCCGGAAATATTCGTGGCACCGTCGGAAGACATATAAGAAAACCGCTCAATATGATACAATACACATAATATATATTCTGAAAAAGCCACAGATCCTGCTCAAAAGGGTGCCAATAAACCAACAACAATGTCAGAGAGGCATGAGCAAGACTCGTGAGACCCATTGTCAATGCCAGAGAAAGGGATGATGTTAATATGAAAGCAGTACAACAAGCTGCAATGATCGCAAAAATAGCCCGAGTAAGAACAAGACGAAGCACGGTAGCCGTAAAATATTGTAAGGTGTCAAAGTAATTGTTGTTTCGAAGATGTACAGCTGAAAAAAACTCCCTCACTTCCGTGTCAATTAAAATTGTATTCACCTGCATTGAACATGACACAAGAAAAAAGACAACCCCTCTTTTGTTTTGCATGGCATTTTGATCGCTTCCTGATCCCGCTATCAGGGAGGCCATAAGAAAAAATAAAAGAAAAAGAGTAATCCATGAAACAAGAAAACTCCTGTGCTCAATGGTGGCGCGCCGGCATGTGTGAGCAGTCAGCAGGTACCATTGAAGAAAATAATTTGGTGAGGGCGCAGCAGCATGCAGGACAGGGTCAAAGCCGTTCAAAGCAATGCTTTTCCGGTGGTCTTCAACCTGACGTTGAATTCGACGGTAAACTGCGCTGCTTTTAAATACGTCCGCTACACGTGCTGAATCCCCTTTTTCATCGAGGGCCACTAACAGTTCCCCAAGGGATTCATCGCCCATACGTTGAACACAACTTTGCTCCCGCAGGAATTCCTCCACCCCCGCCTTTGGGCCGGAGTACAGAAGGTGTCCTTCTGCTCCAAGCAACAAAATATTGTCGGCAATATCAAAGAGTGCACGATGAATCTCCGTCGCTGACACGACAATAACTCGCCCGCTACTCCCAGATAAACCCCGCAACACGGAGACAAAGCCATGGAGTTCACCAGAAGAAAGGCTTCTCATTGGCATATCCAAAGCTAACAACATCGGATTGCGCACAAGTTCCATGCCCAGAGTAAGCTGATAAAGCTGTGAAGGACTCAGTTTCTCTGTCTTAACATCGAGCAACTGGTCAAGATGCACTGCTTTAGCAACTTCCTTCACAATACGATCCTCTTCCAAGGTTTCCACACGCATACGCACCGAGAAGAGAAGGTTGCGACGCACTGTGGCATCTCTTAAACACACCCCAGTAGACGTGATAAAGGCAACTCGCCTACGAAAAGCAGTCGATACAACCGGAAGTTCATTAGCCATAACTGAACCAGACGCTCGCTCTTCAACACCCGCCAACACCTCAAGCAACTTGCGAGAGCACATTTCTTTGGCACTCAATACAACAACAACAGAGCCAGCGAGAAAATAACCAGAAACATTTCGCAAAATCAAACGGGGTGACCGAAAAATAGAAGTTCGTCCCTCCAAAGACACATTTTCAAAGGCAATTACAAACCCACTTTTCGCCTGCGCAAGAACATCTCTTGATCGCAAAAAAGGTGATCCCTCCTCTAATGTTTTCGTCGTACTGCTGCAATCTGGACTGGAAGTGCTCACCGCACAAGCCGATTCTGGCAGCATGGGTCCTAATGGAGGCAATGCATCCGGTAAAACGGCAGCTGGCAGTTCGCCCATAGGCACAGCTAATGTACTATCATCGTCGGTGGCATTGGGCTGCTGAACTTCTCGCTGGTTCCGAAAGTGCCGCATAAAGAAAATTTTTTTTTTAATTTTGTACTAAAAATGAAAGAAAAAAGCAAAAACAATAAATAAAAAATCCGGATATATGTATAAATTTACAATAAACACACAAATAAAACGAACAAAAGAGAGAAAAAATAAATAACGGCATTTAAAAAATTGCAAATAAATTTCGTATGTGTTTTTCTTCTTTTTTCCTCTGTTTGGGTGTGTGTGTTCTCCTTTTCCCTGTATTGCCCCTTATTTTTTGTTTCTTCTTCTCATGGCATGCATGTAACGTTTTACCCTTCAATTTTGTTAGAGGTAAATAAAGAGGAGATGGAAGCATTTATTCGCAAAAAAAAAAAAAAAAATGCGTCCAATGGATTTTAAAAGACCTAACATCCCATCAACTGGATAGGCATCCGCACCACGTCAAAAGCGGCCATGAAAACCCAAGACCAACCTCCATCAATTATTTACATGCCTTTTATTATTGTCATGCTTCATTGCCGTATAATGAAAGCACGCACCTCAGTCCTATCCTTTTTTCCCCCCAAATTTCTACCTCCGTGTTGGTTTTGGTACACGCGGAGGGTGCGGTAGGCGGCAACTCGTTTCGGTTCGTTCGGCTGCAGGCATTTCCGTCTCGTCCTCATGAATCTCGGCGGATATTCTGCGATCGATATCTATCAGCACGTCAGCATAATCCTCAAGACGCCTCATTGATGCATGGAACTCACGTTCGGATTTGCGGTATTGCTCGGCACATTGCCTAAATCTCTCGTGGAGGCGGTCCCAGAGCCGTGTGAGAGCTGCCTCAGCCACGTCCAGTTCTGACAGCTTCTGCTCCAAATCGGCAATTTGCACGGTGGAGTCGTGTTCTTTGTTTTTGACCAAAATGCATGCATTTTGCAAGCAATCCTGAAGAATTCCAATCCGTTCATCCAAGCGATCCAATTCTTGCGGAAGACGATGCTCGCGATACATGAGTTTTTGACTTTCTACCCCCTTTTGCTGCTGTTTGCCCCCTTGCAACGTGTCGGCATAAAGTGCATTCACACGATGCTTTTCTCTCCCTGCCATTCCATCATCCTCCTTTGTGCTCGAAGCCTGAATCGACGGCACACATACCCCTTCAATATCCCCTCCCGTGACCGATCGCAGGGGAAAAGAGGACACAGAATCACCCCAATCCCCTGTTCCCTGTTCATTTGTTGTTGGCGTGCTTGCAGTGGCCGGAGTGCTACCGAGCAAAGGATTTGGGCAGCTTCTCACTTCGCTCTCATGAATTGGAGAAGTCCCATGAAAGAGGACGTCGGATGATGCATGTCTATTGCTGTGGGCCAAGTTGGCCTTCTCATTCTCAATTGCTTCTTCCAAAGGAGTGCGCACGGACGTCTGATCTTCCGCCCGGGCCGATGGTGACAATGGCGGCACATCCGAAAGATCAGGGAGTGAGGGATTTGCCCCTCCCGTGGAGCCCGCTGTTGTTTCCACTGATGCGGAGACTGGCGTTAAAATTGGATTTGAAGAGGCCACACCATGGGGTTCCCCCACCGCAGTAACTTCAAGAGACTCCTTGCACTCGTTTCTCATCTCGTCATTGTTTTGGGGTCGAGAGGGTTTCGACACATATCGAATATAGTGCTGGAAAACTGGCGGTCCACTCAGCCGCAATACACCTGAAACGATCGTTGGAGAGTCGACATCCTCGATAAGAAAAGGAATCTCCTTTACACCTTCATACGAGTTCGTCTGTACTTTAAAAAGAGAGAGGGTAAACAGTGAGATTGGGGTCTCCCTACCGTTTTCTCCACACTTGAGAACCGACAACGTAAACTCACGCGATGCCAATGCCTGCAAAGTCCCTTGAAAAAATGCTTCTGGTAGTATTTCATTATTCCATGTGACAGAACCCAACTTCGATCGCACCATCCCGCTACGCATATCGACGGTACTAGAGGAGAGAAAATACCGTAGTTTGTATTCACCGCTTTCAAGACCGGAAGCGCGCAATTCGCTTAACTGCATTCTAAAATCACAAATTTGATCCATAGTAATGCACAGGGAAACTCTACCCAATATTCTATTTTCAGAACCCCCATCGGAGACTCTCAGTGGAAACTCATATTGGGCGGCGACATTTCTTGCCAAGGACAGCAGGTCTATTGAAGCAACTCCCACCAGTGAGCCGTGACTCGAATGGGCGTCCATGTCAGTCTGTTGTTCGACGGCGTTAAGACAGATGATTTGAAAGCAGACACTGCGTTGACTAAAAGTTGCGGCAAGGTCTTTCAATGAAGGAGCCTGAATACGATATCTGAAAGAGATTGGCCTAGTTTTTTCTGCATTTCGTGATGCTGAGGGCAACGAAAGATCAACTGACTTGCCATCAAAAAGAAGGCGAAACAGAAGCGTGCCGTTATGCAGAACATCTCCCCCTGCATCCTGAGAATGGGAAAACGAGACACGATCCAAAATGACCCTAAAAAACCAAGCATTCATGCTGGGGTCTCACCAATAAAGCTCAATCCTTCCCCCCCAACAGCAATTGCTCTCTATTACAGTATGCATTCGCCTTGCCAGGGTAAATCAAGGAAAGAGAAATTAAACAACAACAACAACAAACATCATGAATAGAGAAAAAAGTAAAAGGGTTGGAATATCAATAAAAAAGCGTCTTCCAATAATCCCCCATAATAATTGGAGCTAAATAACTCACCTTGGAGCTTTATCCAATTAATTGTCTATCTCATTCACAGTGGCGGAGGAGGAGGAGGAGGAGGCAATTTCCGAGGTGGTGGCGGTGGCGGCGGCGGTGGGGGTGGTGGCGGTAATGTTGCTTGCAATAACGGTTGAGAAACGGCCACGTCGTTCGCAGGTGACGCTGTGTGGGCTGATGATGGCTGTGCGAACGAAATACCAGCTGTAGGAAACCGCACGTGGACGACATCTCCAGATCTCAAAGCCGATGGAAACGGTGGCGTTTCAACAATAGCTTCATGCACAGTGTGTTCTCCATTTACAGACGACTTCGAAGTTAATGGAACTGCGGGCCTCAATCCGGGGGAAGACGACACTGAAGACACTCGTCTTTCGGCTCTCTTTTCGTTATAACCGTTTTCACAAGTGGCGTATGTTTCGGCCTCATTTTTCGAGGGAAGGACAGTGTTTGGCTCTGATGTAGCATCCTTGGGAGTAAAGGAGCGTTCACGCAACTGATTTATAAAGGTGGATGAACATCGTCGATTTAACCGCAATTTACACTCCCTTAATTTGGCCGTTCCGTCTTGTTGGAAATCGTCTAGTGTCACTTCAGGTTCCAGCAACATGTCAAAGTTCAGGAGGACGCGTTGGGCCGGTGTCAAGTGCCTAAATTTTCCCAATAATACTTCTTCTTGTTGATTTTTTTGCTCGCTCTCACGCTCCACGGCCTCCTGTAAGACACGAAGTTCTGCTCTGGTCCTTTCAAGATCGCATGTCTTTTCCTTCAGTTTTCTAAGCAAATACGCCTCTCGCCTCCCGGGACCCGCTTCATCAGCAACAGCAGCAGCAACAACACTATCCTTACTATAGTCACAATTAACACCTCTGTTATTGGTGTCTGGAACGCTGGATGTTTGCAGGGGATCGTGTAGATGGTGCAAAATGCCCGGATGCAAGGGGTCCAGATAAGTGAGCGGAGGGCACGCCGATTCATTTTTAAGCAGCTTCCCCATGGCCATGGAATCATCTCTACTGACAGAAATATTTCCCGTCTGCTCAGTTAAGTTCCTCGTGCTTGTCAAGGGCAAAATCGTGTTCCCCTGAACTTCTTTGGCAGGTACGACAGAAGATACATTACACTCACCTTTTTTGGTGTCTTGACGCATCAAATCAAGAAACTTGTTTCGTCGGCATAAAATCGATGAAGCCCTTTCAACAGACCTCTCATGGGCAGTATCGTATTGCCGAAGTTCCGGAGAGTGTGTTGACTTTTTATACGATAATCCAGTCACAGGACGCTTTGACGCAATATATTTGTTTAGGGGAGACAGAGTGCCCTCGTCTTTCTTCTTCTCATCCAATACCTTTTCAGCAGTTTGCCTTTGCCATCCAGTTTGCAGGTTGTCTAGTAGTGACGCAGCATCCGCACTGGACACTCCACCAATTTCAATCTCATCACCGTCTTGCATCTTCAACAAAACAACAGAAAACGGATGCGCGGACCGTGTATGTAGGCTGCTCCCCGGAATATCTACAGGCATTGCATGGAGTTCGTGTCGGGAGCGTTCCCCTTCACATATTCCCATACTTAAGGCCTCTTCCCTTTCCCGTCTTATTGTGATGGAGGCAACGTCTTCCAACGCTATCGTGTGCTCCCGCGACATCTCCTCTTCTCCTTTTTTAAGATACGAAATAAGGGTCACTACGCTGCGCTCACACAGTGTCATCCCCATCGCTTTACTTTGTGAGAAATCATTTGAGTCCGCTGCTTTTTTTCCACCCCGATCTGTTGATGGTGGTCGCCTAAGCAATGGTTCACACGGCATATGCTCAACTCCACATTGTGTCATTCTATTCAAGGAGAGAGAATAAGGAAAGAAGGACAGTGAAAAGAATACCCTCTCTTGACACCATCACGAGGCACGGATAGATGACTCGACCACCCCGAGAGTCAAGTCTGCCCCGGCAGTAATATATATATATATAAAGAATAACCTTCACTTGGTTGGGACCCAAGCGGGAACTCCTCCCATCTCGCACCGCAGATTTCGCATAGAATGCATTGCTTCTTCTTGAGGGCATGAATAATTCGCCTTCTCTCGTAAAATAAGGAAAGGGTGCAGACCCGCCGGGTACCGCTCTTTTGGGTTTTTTTTTTCTGGTCCAAACTTATGGCGGCCCCCCTCAAAGAAACGCCCGATAATGATGAGGCACTCAATTTGGATTCCCAACGCAGAAAAGCTCGGATTTGCCTACGATTTGTATTTAAATGCGGTGGCGCTCTCTGCAACGAAATAACAAACACGGAAGCCAAGGCAGGGGTGGAACCTCTCAATGACCCCGAAAAATGGATACCTGAGGCGGTTTCTTTGGAGAAACAACACATGCGTCAGACAAAAATAATTAAGAATAAAATAAAAGCAATCGGCATCGCATCACGTATAAACCAAAACTACACCATCTACACCTTTTCTTTGCTCTCCATTTAAATTCCTGTATTTTTTCAAGGATGCTCTGGCAACACACCATCGGTTCAAGCACCCATGATTCCATGAAGCATCGCATTGTTCAGCGGCAACTATCGATGGTGCTAGAACGCCAATCTGCAATGAAACAACGACAGTCTCCGACCGCACCAGTTCACAACAAAGACCCTTCTCCAGCGATATAGATCCACAGTTACAAATGCATCCATTGCCATGGCCTATACAATGCCTTGTGACTAACGTCACAAAAGCAGCAGCCATACGCACCCGGAATAGGGTACAGGCCGTGCAACTGCGTTGAACAGATCAATTCGGGTTGCTTGTCCATGTCTTGAGTGTCCAGGACTGTGACCTGTCGTTTTGCTCTCAATTTGAACTAACACGTCCATTAAATAACCCGACACGGCCTCTAGAGGTTGAGGAAAGCCTCCAATATGCCCAAATGTAAAAAAAAAAAAAAGCAGGGAGGTAGGCAACCACGCATGTAGAAATAAAACAGTTGACACGTCTCCCCAACAAATATACCCATTAACAACATATATTTTTTTCTTTCGTCTGCGCTCAACAAACCTTCTCCGTATACCCGTCAACAAGCACTAATAATAAATAAATACATAAATAAGTCGCGAGGCATATAGATATAAAAATATAGATTTGTGTCACCGCATTTGGCTTACAAGGGATTATAATACGGAGGTGGAGGTGGTGAATAACGGGGTCCACCCATGACCGAATCGTAGCTGGGCGGTGCGTCCACACCCGCAGAATCCGATGTTGGTGCAGATGGAGGAGCGTCAAAGGCTGCCGCCATTTCACGCTGCCGACGCAATATTTCCGCCATGCGTTCCGCTCGTTGTGGTTCAGACTGTTGTTGTTGCTGTTCGAGTAATGCAATCTGACCACGGAGTTCATCTTGACGCCGCCGTGACTCATTAATGGCGTCCATGCTTTCTTTACTTTGTTGCATCTCCGAAATCTTTTGCGCAATTTGTGCGTCGAGCGTCGCCCGTAGAATTTCCGCCTCCAACTTGCGACACACCGTGAGGGACCTGGCGCTGGAAAGGGTAGACTCCAGCCCGTCCAACGTGGAGGACGCGTATCGCATGATGTCCCTAAACTCCTGACGGAGGTCCGTGTAAACAGAGCAGGCGTTCTCCAATCCATTACACACCTTCTGTACTTCCGCCACCATGGGATCTGAGCTCTGAAGAACACCAATACTGTTCACAACTTGCTCCACCTCTGCCATGATTTGTTCTTCCTCTCTCATTGTCTCATTGGCACGCTCGATAGCATCACTGATTTTTTGGGCCGCCCCATCCAAGACAGCATTGTGCTGACTAGCCTCTACAGCTGAAAGACCAAACGTCACATCATCTGACTCAATAAGTTCATTCAATTCTCGCAGTCGAAGGTCCTGTGTTTCTTCTGTTGTACGTTTACGTTGAGTCAAATTCTTAAGCACCTCCAATTGCTCAAGAACCCTTTTACTCTGTTTGCGGGCCTCTTTTGTTTCCTCAAACGGCATGAGGGCATCCAAGTCTGCCATTGGCCAGTCCAGTCGCGCAAGATTGCGGAGGCTTCCCTCCAGCAACTTTTTGGCCTTTGTGAATGGATCCACAAACCATTGCTGAATCCCCTTCTCATGCTCCTGAAGTGCTGCCCTAATAGAAATGTACTCTGCAACTTCATTTGAAGGACGTTGCACGCTGCGCCACATGCGCTCTCCATATGCAGTCACATAGGCCTCATCTTCCTTGCGTTCCGCCTCCAGTTCTGAATTTACCTGCTCCAATTTCCCCCTTGCAGCAACCCAAAGTTCTTCACATGTTTTCACAGTGGATACCAACGATTCCACAAGACTTACTGTCACGCCTTCATCATTCTTGTGAAGGGATTGAATCTTCTCACGGAGCTGCCTTGGAACTTGTCCACGGCTCTTGGATTCACCCGACAAAATCTCAATGATCGCTGTCACACCAAGAGCTTGCCATCGTTCGTTGAGCTTATTACGCGTGGATACACAGGATTTATAACAAACAGAGACGAGATTACGTTCCTTTTCACGCCATTTTGAAGCGATGGAAGCAATATGCGCCGGAACAATGCCAAAAAATGGGTCATCACCACGCTTTGACTGGAAAGTCGTAAAACTCGGGTGTTCTGTGGCCTTTCCAAGAGGACGAGGAAGACCACTCGGTGCCTCCACTTCCTTCGGCACACGCATAAAGTATACCGACTCATTTGCTGCAATTGCCTTCTCATGCTCCTTGTTTACATTGGCAATGATGCCGTTGATCCAGTTGCGGAGCTCATTTGTGGATAACTTTGGTACGTCCGTCAAATAGCTCTTCGCCTTTTCAAAATGTGCGATTGCGGTGCCAATGCATTCTGTATCTGCCATCGATGTGGCAAGATGTAGATGAGAACGCGCATAAAACACCGTCCCCATCGTTGAAAACAACTGTTCAATAAGTACCACTGACGAATTCCGTTTGCTCCCTGTATACCACGCACTTGATTTAATGGAACTTGCCACCTCCTCATACTGCCTTCCACCTTCCCGCGCAATTTTGGCCAACATGGAATGATTTCCCTTCATGTCATTTTCTGCCTTCAGGTACGCGGAATGATGCGCCATCACAAGACACATTCGACGAAGCAAATTCAGCGCTTCCGACGTTAAGTCGCCCTTGATATGCTCTGGTGGAAGTCGCTTTAGAAGATTTTCCACCATTTCATAGTACCCTGCCGCATTCTGAAAACTCTTGAAGGCACTCTTTACATCTCCCACCATCCCGGTCTGCGCTTGATGTGCCCCAACGTATGCCCAGGATGCGGCGAGGTTGTAGATGCAACTAATCAATTCAAGATTGCCATTCATTGATTCGTTCTTCTGATTATCATCAAAACCATCCCGCCACACAAAAGTCATGTTCTTATGCACTTGCGCCCCATGCAACGGAAGATGCGCCTGCGCCATCGCAACAAGCTGACAATATGGCTTTAATGTATGCTCAATGAACGTTTCAGTTGGTGGGGCTTTGGTATCTGTGCGAAAAGTCTGCACGATTGTTTTGTGAAGGGTATTCATCCGCTTCAATGTCGCCTCAACGGCACTTGTGTTGTTGCTTGAGTGATTCACGCTGATGAATTTAAGACACAATTCCCAATCCGGCACTTCATCTTTTCCACGTCGGAAGGGCAGTGTGACGAATGGGTCTGGCAGGTGCACAAGCGCAGCCATTCTACTTTTTTTTTTTTTTAAATTTACGTGGCTTATATACTGTATGTATGTTTTTATTTACGACTATTTGCCTATCCCACACTCTCGTTTTTTACTTTACGCCACTGAACTCCTCCTTCTGCGTCCCCCTAAGCCCCTAAAAAATAATCCCAGCCTGATTTAATCAAATGTGCCCTGTCCCACGTGTATTGACACACCCCTGTGTGTGCGTGTGCGTGAAGGGAGTGGCGGGAAGCAGATGGAAAGCCGCAATAAAAGTTGTCAAGAAGAAATGAAAAAAATTTTTTTTTTTTTTTTTTTTTTTCGTGAAGGAAAGAGCAAAGGCAAACTAAGCATGAAAGGCAATAAAACGGCCGTGACAACAGTGTGAGGAAAAAATATATATATAAAGGAGAAACATTGGAGATCATATTCTTTCCGTATCTTACATCGTCCACGATGGGTGTGTGCGTGTGTGTAATCGTGCCGGGAATTACACATGCCAACAGCACCCTACATGATAGAAGGAACAACAAAAGTGGTACGCAGAAAAAGAAATGAACGGAAAGAATTCATGAAGTACATACATGTATGCATGCACGTCACTCTTGCAGAGTCCCACGTTTATTCCGCAGATTCCTTCACAAAATTCATGATGTCTCTCTCTTTGCTGCCCATCCTTTGAGTTTCCATGAGCCCATGCGTGTAATCTTCCGCCGTTCTTCCCATACATAATAAACACACACATGCACACGCGAACACGCAGAAGCACCTGCTTTCTTTCATGAATGTCCTTCAGTCGGAATCTCGTTCCTGCCTCTTTTGTTTTTGCTACTAGTTGGCGTTAGCCCTGCCAACCTCCTCTTCCTCTTCTACCATGCTGTCCATATCCATCTCCTCTGCCTCTGGCAGCGGCTGTGCCACCTTGTCCAGGAATTCCTTGTCGCGGTGGTGGTCATAGGCGTAAAAGTTCTCATCGAAGCTCTCATTGGACCACACGGCCTTTTCTTCCGTGGGATTCACAGCAGGAGCTGGGGTTTCCAACATCTTCGGAGCACCAGCACCATAACGGTCCCGTTCTCGCACTCTTTCCGACCAACGCCACTCATAATAGTGCACACGGCGCACCTCGCGCTCT